TATATCCACATTCTGCTCATATTTTGCCCCTGGCCAAGTACAGAAAGTTTGGAGCAAAACAAAGAAGGCCCTTTGTTGCAACCGTCCCACTACGTTGAGTCAATCCAGCCCATTCCTGTGCTGGCCTGGGATCTGGAACAGCTGGGAGGATGGGCTGCTAGAGAGATCAGGATGAAAACCAGGCTGCCCCTACTATTGCCTCCCTGAACTTCTGGGGGAATTGTGGGATCCGTGTCCTGTAAGGGTACTCACGGGGGAGGGGCAGATTTCTGTTTTAGATTAACAGGAGGGTTTATCATGCCAGAAGGTCAGTATTTACCTTGGCTTCAGCTCGATGAGTCTTTACTTCTCCGTTCAGTTGGTCTTTCTGCTGACTTCAGCAGAAGTGAAGCTCTGCTTTTTGTCTGCCCAAGAGGATGCTGACTGATATTTTCTTATCAGAAGGGCCTGGAAACATAGTTGCGGAGGAGCCCACTTCTCTAGTGTGTGTGTGTCGGGGGCTTTGTCTACCTCCACCGAGAAATCTGATCCCTCTTTGTACAAACAACCCCGTTTCTAAGGCGCTTTTGAACTTACAGACGGGGGAGAGAACACAAGATCGCAGACAGATCACTTCTGTCATCTCCTTGTATGATGAAAACTGGGGAGATTCTGAGAACCCTGACTGTCTGTGTCAGAGTTGTGGTGAGAGGTCGAGGAGTTAAGGGCTCAGTGGCGCCCTGCTGACCCTCATTTGTCCAGTTTCCATTTTATCAAGGTTTGGGGGTGGGGGCACGCTGTATGATGCCTGAAGATCACCAAGGAAGAGAGGAGGAGGGAGCCAGAACTACGACCCCGGTCCCAACTCCAAGGCTTCAATGCTTGATTTCTTGGGCTCTTGGGAACAGTGGCTTCTGTCTCTCCTGGGGCTTTAGCATGTAGTTGGTGAGTGCCGCGGGCACAGTATAGAAATACAGAGACCAGTGCTCGTGTGGAGTTTGGATCAGGGGCCAGCCGGGGTGGCTGACGTTTGAGGAGGCACTGGACCTTCTGAGGGCACCAGTACGCCCTTCAGTTACGGGCTGCTCAAACTTTCCCGCTTTTGCCGCCACTCACAAGTATGTTTTATCTTGAAAAATAATGCAAATGGCGCATTCTATTCAATACTCTTCCCATATTTTTTTTTTTTTTTGCGGTATGCGGGCCT